CAGGAGGTTCAGCATGCGGTAGTGACTGTACCTGCATACTTCAATGATGCACAGCGCCAGGCTACCAAAGATGCAGGTTCAATTGCCGGACTTCAGGTGTTGCGGATCGTGAATGAACCTACGGCCGCTGCGATAGCTTATGGCCTCGACAAAGAGGGCGATGAGAAGAACATCCTGGTCTATGATCTCGGGGGAGGAACCTTTGACGTGTCCTTACTGAACATTGCGAACGGTGTCTTCGAAGTGATTGCAACCAGTGGCGACACCCACCTGGGTGGAGAGGACTTCGACCAGCGCGTCATGCAGCACTTCATGAAGGTCTTCCGGCAGAAGCACGGAAAGGACATGTCCCAGGATAAGCGTGCCATTCAGAAACTTCGCCGGGAGGTGGAGAAGAGCAAGCGCCAGCTGAGTTCCACACACCAGTCGCAGCTGGAGATTGAAGCTCTTTTCGAAGGTGTGGACTTCCAAGAGACCTTGACCCGCGCGAAGTTCGAGGGGTTGAACCTGGACCTCTTCAAAAAGACCCTGGGGCCCGTGAGGAAGGTGCTGGAGGACGCAGGCCTCAAGAAGAGTCAGGTGGATGAGATCGTCCTGGTAGGAGGCTCCACGCGAATCCCCAAGGTGCAAGAACTCATCAGAGATTTCTTCGGGAAGGAGCCGAACCGCGGCATCAACCCGGATGAGGCTGTGGCTTATGGCGCAGCAGTGCAAGCCGGTATCCTGAGTGGAGAGACCCGGGAAAACGTGGTCTTGCTGGACGTGGCTCCACTCACCTTGGGCATCGAGACCATGGGTGGTGTCATGACGAGGCTTATCAATCGTAACACCTTAATTCCAACACGCAAGAGCCAAGTCTTCTCGACCTCCCGGGACAACCAGCCGGCAGTCGAAATTCAGGTATTCGAAGGCGAACGCGCCATGACCAAGGACAACCGCCTCCTTGGCAAGTTCGAGCTTCGCGTCCCCCCGGCGCCGCGCGGACACCCTCAGATCGAAGTGACCTTCGAGATCGACAGCGATGGTATCCTCAACGTCGCTGCCGAGGATAAGGGCACCGGCCGCAGCGAACAGATTACGATCCAGAACCAGAACCGACCGACGGAGGAAGAGATCCAGAAGATGGTCAAGGACGCCAAGACCTTCGAGCACGAGGACCGCGACCACAGCGAGAGTGCTCTAGGAGTCCAGGGCTCTAGATGTAGTATAAGTATATAGGTGTCCGTCCCCTCCCGGGTCCTTGAGGACCGGCAGATGAGGGAGCGCGTCGATGCGAGGCTGGGTCTGGAAGGCTACCTGCATGGACTCCGCCATGCTATGGCCAGAGGCGAGGAGAGCTTCATGAGCTCCGAAGAGCAGAGCCTCTTGGAGGAATCCATCCGGGCTGGCCAAGATTGGTTGGACTCCAACCC